ATATATAAATCAGAAATAACCAATTTAAAATGGAAAATTTTAAAGAAAAAAAAAAGGAAAAAAAAATTAGAAAAAATCCCCCCCCCAAAAATTTTTTGAACCCCCTTCCCTTTGTGGTATGGTACCTTGCAGTACAATTTCAGAGAGATCCATACACTTGAACACAAGTTATTGTCTGGAAACTAGAAAAATGCTTGTTTTTTTGGCCCCAAATTCCTAAACGTTTAGGGCAATTACCCCCAAATTCAAACCCAGCTTTTCCTTTGTTATATGGAACCTTGTAGTACAACTTCATAAATTTCCATGCACTTACACACAAGTTATTGTCCTGAAACTATAAAAATTAATGTTTTTTGCCCCTAATTCCTAAAATTTTGAGGCATTTACCCCCAAAATCAATCCCAGCCTTCCCTCTGTGGTATGGTACCTTGCAGTACAATTTCAGAGAGATCCATACACTTGAACCATGTTATTGTCTAGAAACTAGAAAAATTCGTAAGGGTTCCGCGGAACCCAGTGTCTCGCCTACTTTTGCTGTTAATAGCAGGCTCAACAAAAATGAGGAAAAAAATCAATAAAAATATTCCTTTAGATACTATCTTTTGATTGTAAGAAGCTTCTGTCAAAGTTTGGTATAAATCCAGGATAGTTTATGAATCTAATAAATGTTTTAAAAACTTTAACTGCAGACTGTATTTAATGTTAACTGGAAGAAAAACTAAGTCCATTTATAAGTAAAATACAGATAAACAGGTACAAATTTTAACAAAGTTTCCTTCTAGATACTAGCTTTTGATCATAAACAAGCTTCTGTCCAAATTTGGTACAAATCCAGGATAGTTTAAGAAAGTTATTAAAATTTAAAAAACTTTAACCACAGAGTGAATGTATTGTTTCCTGGCAGAAAAACTAAGTCCATTTATAAGTAAAATACGGAAAAAATGAAATTTTTTTTTTAACAAATTTACTTCTGGATACTATCTTATGATCATAAACAAGCTTCTGTCCAAGTTTGGTACAAATCCAGGATAGTTTAAGAAAGTTATTAAAATTTTAAAAACTTTAACCACAGAGTGAATGTATTGTTTCCTGGCAGAAAAACTAAGTCCATTTATAAGTAAAATACGGAAAAAATGAAATTTTTTTTTTAACAAATTTACTTCTGGATACTATCTTATGATCATAAACAAGCTTCTGTCCAAGTTTGGTACAAATCCAGGATAGTTTAAGAAAGTTATTAAAATTTTAAAAACTTTAACCACAGAGTGAATGTAATGTTTCCTGGCAGAAAAACTAAGTCCATTTACAAGTAAAATACGGAAAAACAGGAATTTTATTTTTACAAAATTTACTTCTGGATACTATTTTATGATCATAAACAAGCTTCTGTCCAAGTTTGGTAGAAATCCAGGATAGTTTAAGAAAGTTATTAAAATTTCAAAAACTTTAACCACAGAGTGAATATTTGTGGACGCCGCCGACGACAACGACGACGACGGAATGTAGGATCGCTATGTCTCGCTTTTTCGACTAAAGTCGAAGGCTCGACAAAAATGCTTATTTTTGGCCACTTATTCCTAAACGTTTTGGGCAATTGCCCCCAAACTCAATTCCAGCTTTCCCTTTGTGATATGGAACCTTGTAGTACAATTTCATAAAGATCCATACACTTACATACAAGTGATTGTCATGAAACTAGAAAAATGCTTGTTTTTTGCCCCTTTTTGGCCCCTAATTCCTAAAATTTGGAGGCAATTACCCCAAATTCAATCCCAGCATTCCCTTTGTGATATGGAACCTTGTGGTACAATGTCAGAGAGATCCATACACTAACACACAAGTTATGTCTGGAAGTTACAAAAATGCTTATTTTTGGCCCCTAATTCCTTAACTGTTGGTACCATAACCCCCAAAATCAATCCCCACCTTTCTTTTGTGGTATTGAACCTTATGGTAAAATTTCATAGAGATCCATTCACTTAAACTAAAGTTAGAGTGCGAAAACCAATGTGTCTTCGGACGACGACGCCAACGTCATACCAATATACGACCGCAAAATTTTTTGGCAGTCGTATAAAAAAGAAACAAATGATCCCAATCCAGAATTTTGGTCTGTGCTATTAGAGTTTGTGTGCGAAGGAGTTATTTCCCAAAAAATCATCCACAGTAACAGAAATGCAAACCTTTGATCCCGCTGTGTCGGCGGGGACAAAGGTGTTTCTGTCAGGATACTGGAAAAAAAACTTCTCATAAACATAGAAACTGACGATAGTACGGTGAAGGTGAATACCATAAAAGAGAGCGAAAATGGCAAAATACACCAAAGTGTCAAAGTATTTACTAGACACAGAGTAACATTTACTGTAATATTAAAGCCCTATTTTAGTTCTGAAACTGTTTTAAAAATGATAAAATGTGTTTACCTAATTGTTTTACATATGTCTGTAGTATTAAAATATATTTAGTAAAAAGATAATTAATTATTTTAATGATATTCACTTGTGAATAACAGCATAGGATTCCTGTCCTAAGTCAGGAATCTGATGTTCAGTAGTTGTCGTTTGTTGATGTGGTTCATAAGTGTTTCTCGTTTCTCGTTTTTTATATAGATTAGACCGTTGGTTTTCCCGTTTGAATGGTTTTACACTAGTAATTTTGGGGGCCCTTTATAGCTTACTGTTCGGTGTGAGCCAAGGCTCCTTGTTGAAGACCGTACTGTGACTTATAATGGTTTACTTTTATAAATTTTGACTTGGATGGAGAGTTGTCTCATTGGCACTCATACCACATCTTCTTATATCTATATATGGTGCTTAATATATACAATAGTACAAATGTTTGTTCACGAAAAGTGTCAACAAAGGGATGTAACTCGTAAATTACTATCGGAACCGCTTCGTCCAAAATATCGACACATCGAAGTGGCACATTTGCGTATAATAGCATATTAAGTGGCACAAATTTGACACAGGCCAGTTCATAAAAAGCCTCATCACATATTTTGAATTCAGCATCGAGGTTCCCTAGAAGTTAAGAAATTTCAACTGATGAAAAAAATTGACGCGACAAGTGACGACCTTGGGTTTGAAGGCTTCGTATTGTAATTCAGTACGCTAAATCAAAACAATTTGTATGTTAGAACTTCTAAAAAGTATACACAGTTGGCATTTATAATGTACAGCATGCTTTGATTTCATTTGATATGACTTTTTTGAGGAAACAGACTTGTTTCAGTTGAAGAAAAAATGACAGAAAAAATGCCCAAATATGGTAGTCACATGACTTCCATTGTTGCTTTAAGAAATGGGGTCAAACCGGGGTCAGCTTTCCCACTGTTCGTCCAAATTTAATTTAGAAACTCCTTCTATGTTTTTAATCCCATGTCATTTACTTGCGTAAAATAAAAGCTACTTTTTAACTTTCTAATTCAATTATTTTATAAAACATTTTTTTACAATATGGTTTGTCATGTCTGTGAAAGAGATGGATACCTGTCGACAAGACAGTAATATAATGACCAGAGTTGTAGTATCTCATAATATGATTTCCAAAAAACAAGTCTATATCCCAGGCTAAATGTCATTATTGTAATAAACTATAGGCTACTGTATGGCTTACCCTGCAGATAGTATTCTATAATGACCAAAGGGTATCAAAACAACCTGTGTAAAACAATTCAAACGAGAAAAATAACGGACTGATTTCTATACAAAACAATATACAAAAAACAAATAAGAAGATGTGGTGTATTTGTCAACGAAACAACTATCCACCAAGGACCAAATGTCGTTGATGTATACATGTAATAACATTATGAACTTCAACGTGGAGCCTTGGCTTACGTCGCATAGCAAGCTATATAGGACCACGAAATGACTAGTGTAAAACAATTCAAAAGAGAAATACAACGGCATGATTTATAAACAATACAATAGACAGCAAAAAACAAAAACCATTGCCTGAACCCCATTCCTGTTACACCATCACACTTTAGCGTGTTAAACCAACGCACTTTAGCATGTCATATACCATCGCACTTTAGCGTGTCAGACCATTGCACTTTAGCGTATCATCTAATCGCACTTCAGCGTCTGACACCATCGCACTTTAGAGTAGACCATCGTACTTTAGCGTAACCATCGCACTTTAGACTACCATCACACTTTAGAGTCCTACATATTTAACGGGATTTAACCATAAATTACACAGCATTGATTCCATGCCTAATATTTTCATAACCTTTTTCATAAGTAGGGCGATTTTTTTTTAAAGTGGGGCGAGTTGGTTAACAAGAGTGGGGCAATTTTTAAAAAGTGGGGCGAGATGGTGAAAAAGTGGGGCGATTTTGTGTGGGGCGATTTGACAGTGGGGAGAGCTGTCTTGCTTCCTCTGTGCATGTGTGACTGCATGTCCACTGATCTGATCCAGCCTGCGACACACCACATCTTACACAATCACTAGACTAAATAACTCTGTTGAATTAAACTATACGTACTGTATTTTCTACCAAGATTTCTGAACAATTCTTCCTTATTTACACTTATTGTCGGCATTTTATATTCTGCACATGTAAAATTATCGGATGACGAAATCCTAAATTTACCGGAAACTGAAAATGATAGTCTTAAATTAAGTATCATTCTATTGATTTTGAATTGTGTTTCATTCACTTTAGTAATGTTATAGAAGTGTTTTTTATTCTCTAAGTAAGATTTTACATTACTACGTGATTTTAGGACAACAATATTTTTTTTAAGGATTGTATATATACTAATCTAGTCCGTTCCATGTCTTTAAACAATATTAATTTAAAATAAGGGCTTTCTTTTTTGTTTACCGTGTGACACGGGTGCTCCTTTTTCGGAGGAATTTACCTAGAGAAGAAGAAGAAGTAAGTAAAAGGATATTTTGAATATGTCTGCAGTCTGCTAGTAATTTGAAATGGAACCATGAGTGAAAAAAATTACAACAATTTTCCTTGTGTTAGCAAAACCTTCTTAAAATCTACTTTCGTTTTGATAGGATTATATCAAACATTCCAATTTATTTATTTATTTAGGTATATATACAAATAGGCCTAATCTTTATTCAACTGAAAATAAGGGTCAGTGGTGATTCTTAAAAGAAATATAGTATTGATCAAGCTCTAATATTTGTAATGCCATAGATCATATATCCATATTAAACTTCCATCTGGCCCGAGAACACAGTTATTTCGTAGTGCATTTCTTTTAGACAATAAATTCAATTTTAAAAAAATCGCACCTGCTCTATCTTAAAAAGATTTTTACAGTGTAGTATACTACTATTGATACAAATAATGTCAAAATTATAGAAACTTCTACCAGCTCTAACTCAAAATATTGACAATTCTGTGTTAAGGGGGCTAAAATTCAGTTTGACAGCTTCAGACATTCTAATTTTTGACCTTTTTTAACTGGACCAAATCACTACTTAACATAAAGATTCAGCACCCAAATTTTTTTAACATGTAATTTCATCCCCTTACTTAATATTTCATGCATAAAATATCAAGAAATAAATTGGGAAAGTGTATCAAAAAAAAATGCAAGTTATACACTGTTCACACTAGGGACTATATTCGTAGACAACGAAAACCAAAGGACGATAACTGTGTCCTTGGACCTAATAGGATAGAAAGACTTGACCAATTTTAATAAAACTTTGCATGACCTAAGCTTAGGCAATTATAAGATAGTTGGCCAAGTTTCATGGCCATAGGATATATATTATAGAAACTAGGGCCATTTTAATATTGAAATTTGGATGTTTATTTTTGACGTTTAAATCAAATAATTTCAACTGTCAAGATTTTGGCCTAAAAAATTTAAATATTGCAAAAATTTGCTTTTTAAATACTCTTGAATTTAATATAATAAGTATTAAAAGCAACGGAACACTCATTTGATTTATCAGATTTATTACAGTTATTCAAAAGTCAAATTTATATGAGCCTGTGCCTGAAAATAGAGATTTTAGAATTAAGGGAAGCCTTACATAAACATGCATTTTTTTCAACCAATTTGAAGTTTTTTAACCATACATTATTCTTCCATATATATTAAATGTACTTTAAATGTAAAGAAAAGTTACAAAAAGCATACCACATGGGTATAAAATGGTCTTAGGCCATGTAAGACTGAGAATTATTTAGAGTGGATTTAGGCCGTAGCCCATATTTACATATAAAAATGCACACAGAGGCTATAAGAAATTGAAATTTATTACTTTTTGCTCATTTCTATGCTGAGATGTCATGATACAAGAAGTCTAATTGCAAAAGGACTCTTGAATTCAACTTTTTTTTGCAGACAGTATGGTCTGATGACCAGTTTTTCACTTTTCAATGGAAAACTTGCATGTAGTTTTAGTCTCATTTGGCATATATTTGAACCACTTACTATCCTAAAGAAGAAAATAATGGTAGCATATGAAATGAATAGGGTGTACTGATCATTGTAAAGTGTTTTTTTTACAGATTTAGTGAAATATTTGTGATGGACTACAGATTTTATGTACAAAGCTCTTCACATTTCACATACATCAAACAGGCCGTTTAACCAGGGACATAAATACAAATATTCTGCACATTTTTTCTGTGATAATCTACTTTACTCTAGATTCCGAGTTCACAAATGGTTAATTAAATTTGATTTAAGCATAGAAACACAAATATCAGGAACTTCAAAAAGCTCTCAGATAGAAATTCAGCATGGCTCTTAGGCATAAAATGGAAACTGCTTTAAAATGCTTATTTTAGCCGTATAATGCCAAAATGGGACATTTAAACAGAATTTCTGTCAAACAAAGATGTAAATGCTTTACTTTTATTGAGTTTGACAAATTGAAACCAGCAAACTATTCAGGAAAGTTGCCAAAGTACAGAATCTACATTTACAGAATTCATCTCTTAGGCCCGAGAACACAGTTATTTCGTAGTGCATTTCTTTTAGACAATAAATTCAAATTAAAAAAATCGCACCTGCTCTATCTTAAAAAGATTTTTACAGTGTAGTGTACTACTATTGATACAAATAATATCAAAATTATAGAAACTTCTACCAGCTCTAACTCAAAATATTGACAATTCTGTGTTAAGGGGGGCTAAAATTCAGTTTGACAGCTTCAGACATTCTAATTTTTGACCTTTTTTAACTGGACCAAATCACTACTTAACATAAAGATTCAGCACCCAAATTTTTTTAACATGTAATTTCATCCCCTTACTTAATATTTCATGCATAAAATATCAAGAAATAAATTGGGAAAGTGTATCAAAAAAAAATGCAAGTTATACACTGTTCACACTAGGGACTATATTTGTAGACAACGAAAACCAAAGGACGATAACTGTGTCCTTGGACCATCTGACATCTTAAGGTAGCACAATACAAAGATTTTATACCTCCAACTCCCCAGTTTTAAAATGCTGTAACTTTCTTTATAATGCTTGAAAATTTATAAAAGTGGTATTTATGGATAGCTAACAGATTACTCTTTCAAATTAATGCAATGTTAGTATTATACAACAATTATGTAATTAATTATAATTTTAACTGTGTCTACAAAATTTTACAAGAAATTTCCACTTTCAATTGAAATTAGCTTCTTCATGGATACCCCGAGAGGGTTGATTTTATAATATGTTGTTCCTAGAGCCATTATCAATATCTACAAAAGGCAAAATGAAAGGGTGTCTCAGATTTTGGATAGAATGTATAGATCAAATTTTACACCTAATCAAATAATCTCTACTTTTATGTGGTAAGGATGTTTACACTAATTACAGATTTATGAGAGAATGGAATACGATAGCGATAATTTGAGACACCCTTTTGTAGCTCCTGCTGTGTTGATTAAGATAACGTTAAAATTGCTTGTGTAGTTATAGAGATGTCAGAGCTAAATTCATTCAAGTGAACTGACCAAGATTTTTCCATTAATTGCATAATAATTGATTACATAATTATTGCATAACAAAAATATTGCATTCATTTAAAAGATTAATCTTTTATCTATCTATAAATACCTCTTTTATTAATTTGTATGCAGTCATCAGAAAGTAACATCATTTTAAAGGTTGGAGATTGGAAGTAAAAAAATCTTTGTATTGTGTTACCTTAATGTCGCCTTTTGGTAATTTTTAACAGGATTTTGGGAGCGTAGCTATAATACGACATCCTGAAATTCTGACAGTCCTGTAGTTACACAGTCCGACAGTCTATTAGTCTGACGGTCCGATAATCCGATAGTTTGTTAATCCATCAGTCCAATGCCAATGGTCAGACATGAAGCTGTGCAAAGGATATGGATCTCATCTTCATAAAAGCTTATCAGTATACTGTTGAAACGCAAGCAGTGTTTGAAATTAAAAAAGTGGAATGCATTGTAATGGGATCCAAATTAAATCCTTTACTGTTTGAACAGTTAATCTAAGATTTCATTCCTGTTCATCATCTCTTAAAGTTGATAACGAGAATGTTTACATACATGTACATGCTCATGTGTAAATCAAAATTCTATCCGGATGAAATATCATCTGGCGGTAAATATGTTACAGATGATCTTGTAAGATTTTTTCTGCAGGAAAAATTTCATTGTGAGATATTTTCCCAGTGCCATGAAATTTTATCCTGGAAGTTAAAATATTAAATTGTTAATAAAAAAAAAAAAAAAAATAAATCTTTGCAAATACTATGGACTAATAATAGTGTATTTGAATATAAGCTAAATTAGTGAATAAAAAAAGAAATAAATGTATTATAATGGGAAATAATTACACAGATTATAATTAAAAATAATATCCTGAATTAATTTTTTAAGTAATTAAGTCTCCCAAACGAAGTTTGGGAAGACTTATTGTTTTTGCTCAGTTCTTATTATTATTATTATTCTTCTTCTTCTTCTTCTTCCGCCACTTTTAAATTTGAACTTGTCCGCACCCGTTCTCCAAAACCGCTTGTCAGATTAACTTAGGGTTTCACAATATGTTAGACTAACATGTCTAGTGGTGCAATCAGGGTTTTGTTTGTGCAATGGGGTTTATAAAGGGGTACTTTGAGGGGCAAAAAGAAAAGAGGGTTTTACTATAGAACCCTATGGGATTTTATTTTTTAAAATTTTCAAATGATTATAAATTGAAAACCGTTTGTGATAGACACAATCTTTTTAATTGAAAATGTTCTAAATGATAAAGCCCATTAAATGAAATACAGGGTTAGTCCCCAGGGGTCACCCCCACCCCCTGCCATTTAAGAAAGTTCTAATACCTTGTAAGTGGTCAAGATCCCCACCCCTAAACCATATATATTTTGGTTTGTTATGCTAAGATGGTTTGAATGATATACAGGGTTAGTCCCCAGGAGTCACCCCGACCCCCTGCCATTTGAGAAAGTTCTAATATCTTGTAAATGGTCGAGATCCCCACCCCTAAACCATATATATTCTGGTTTGTCATGACAAAGCACATCAAATGAAATACAGGGTTAGTCCCCAGGGGTCACCCCCACCCCCTGCCATTTAAGAAAGTTCTAATATCTTCTAAGTGGTCAAGATCCCCACCCCTAAACCATATATATTCTGGTTTGTCATGCTAAGATGGTTTGAATGATATACAGGGTTAGTCCCCAGGGATCATCGCAACCCCCTGCCATTTGAGAAAGTTCTAATATCTTGTAAATGGTCGAGATCCCCACCCCTAAACCATATATATTCTGGTTTGTCATGATAAAGCACATCATATGAAATACAGGGTTAGTCCCCAGGGGTCACCCCCACCCCCTGCCATTTAAGAAAGTTCTAATATCTTGTAAGTGGTCAAGATCCCCACCCCTAAACCATATATATTCTGGTTTGTCATGATAAAGCACTTCAAATGAAATACAGGGTTAGTCCCCAGGGGTCACCCCCACCCCCTGCCATTTAAGAAAGTTCTAATATCTTCTAAGTGGTCAAGATCCCCACCCCTAAACCATATATATTCTGGTTTGTCATGCTAAGATGGTTTGAATGATATACAGGGTTAGTCCCCAGGGGTCA